AAAAAATAAAAAAATAAAAAAAAAATAATAATAATCTTCGAGACCATCTCTCCCCGTATGTACCCTGCAGAGCCTTGCGGTCTGCAGAGGGACACTTTCTAGTGGTCCTCGGCCCGAAGGACATCCATTTAGCCTCGACCAGGGCCAGGGGTTTTCTCTGCCTTGGCCCAGGCCTGGTGGAACATGCTCCCATTTGAGATCAGGGCCCTGCAAGCAGTGTTCCCTCTGAGCTGAGTTAGTGTGGAGCTAGCTGACAGTTTTTTAGTCTCCGACTCACACATTCTTGTCTAGGCTCAGGAAGGAGGGCTCCAGAGCAAACTCATTCATGCAGCGGCCAAACAGCTCACTCACAGCTTTAATGCCAGTAGCTCACTAAGTAGCATTTTTGTTCACGAGACTCCACACCTTAGAGGGAGCATTGCCTGTGAGACCTGCTACAGTTCCACAGGGATTGTAAAATGGAGCTGTTCCACCAGGCCTTTGGCTGAGGCGATGGACGTCCATTACATCTGGCCCTCCCCTGCGACATGGAGATATGTTTAGCGATTAAACATCTAGAGCAGGGGTATCAAACATGCGGCCCGGGGGCCGGATGAGGCCCCCGGGGGGCTTCTATCAGGCCCGCAGCGGAACTGGCTGTCTCCTGCTGCTTCTTCCAGTTCTGCTGCTGCTGCGTCATCGTAGGTTTTGCAGCTTACAGATACACACCTGAACAGCACACTCAAGACTGCAACAGCACAGACATTTTGATGCAATAATTCGGAGCAAGAGGTGATAGTTATTGGACACTGTTAAAAAAACAAGATATTGCAAGAGTGCTAATGTTTTAAGCATGTTTTTAAGTAAAAACAATCTTTGTGTTTGTGTCCTTTATAAAGTTCATATCTCTGCTACCTGGCGTTACATTTTATGACACTCATGACACCCGGCCCAACAAGGTGTCATTTATGTCAGATCCGGCCCTCATAACAAATGAGTTCGACACCCCTGATCTAGATACTCCGCCGAAAGAGTTCTCCATCACAGCATCGTCTACAGGGCGACCATTCAATCTCCTGATGCCCCAACCAAGACCGTTTTAGACTGTTTTAATTCCGTTGTACTGTACAAGTGGGAGGGGTGTTGTAAAGGATGCAAACGTGCCATGCATATTGGAATCAGCTTGATTAGAGCAGAGGGGAAATGCCTGGGGGGCAGACTATTAGCATCTGTACTGAGATAAGAATCCGATGTCCCTATCTAGCCCTGGACAAGTCCACGGTTCTGAACTTGTGAATGAGCTCAAATTCAGCAATCTCACATTGTAATCTCCCCTTGAAGACTGCCACTCGTAGGTCAGCAATGGAATGACCTGCACAGCATCCTTTGCAAGTGTTCTTTGCAACGCCCCTCCCGCCTCCTGAATGGAATATAAAGATTCAGATCTCCATTCCTAGCCATATCTGATGAATGGAGCTGATACCTTGAAACTCTTGTTAGTCTCTAAGGTGCTACTGGATTCGAATCTAGCTCTTCTACTGCTGACCGACATGGCTACCAGTCTAAAACCGCCCTGAGCCTGCCTTGGAAGGGAGGGCGGGATAGAAATCGAATTAAATAAATAAATAAATAAAAATATTCTGACACGATTCTCTGCCTTCTTCAGAGACAGCAATTAAAAGGCCTCGGGACTGCCACATCTGCAAGAACGTTTGGGGAAGCCACATACCAAGCCAAACTCCGCACAACTGCATATCCTCACATACACACGCCACTCAACTTTTCTTTCCCCTCCCTGCCAACAATTCCAAGGCAGCTGGAGTTCCTCTATTTTTCCTCTTCCCAAACTGCAGGATCCATTATTGCTGCCTTCTCAGATGATTCCATAACCCTGTCCTGTACTCAGCCAATCCACACCAGAGTCAAGAGCAGGGGTGTCAAACATGAGGCCCGGTGGCCGGATTAGGCCCCCGGAGGGCTTCTCTCAGGCCCACAGTGGAACTGGCTGTCTTCTGCTGCTTCTTCCAGTTCTGCTGCTGCTGCGTCATCGTAGGCTTGCAGCCTACAGACACACCCCTGAACAGCATACTCGAGATTGCAACAGCACAGACATTTTGATGCAATGATTCAGAGCAAGAGGTGTCAGTTATCAGACACTGTTAAATAAACAAAATATTGCAAGAGTGCTCATGTTTTAAGCATATTTGCATTTTAAGTCAAAAAAACCCTCTATGTTTGTGTCCTTTATAAAGTTTATATCTCCGCTACCTGGCATTACATTTTATGACAGACATGGCCCAGCCCAACGAGGTCTCGTTTAGGTCAGATCCGGCCCTCATAACAAATGAGTTCAACACCGCAGGTCAAGAGGGCCAATTCTCATGTGTCCTCTACATGGCAAACCAGCAGAACTGCTTCCCCGTGACAGAGCAGGAGAGGAGGAATTTCCTTCCATGGAAGGAGGCCACGAGAACAAAGTCGGGGACACCGTGAAATACAAGGTGCCGCAGAAAAGAGGATGGACGGCTACAATCAAAGGCAGAAAAAGAACGTAGAGAAAACAGAGAGGAGAGATTTAGATTTGGCAAGGGAGGAGATCGCCTTTAAGTTGGTTGTTTATTCATTAATTTAATTATTAGCCAACCATCTGCTTTATGGAATTCAAGGTGGCTTACAATACAAACAGAACAAAAAGCATTAAAATACATTAAAAGTCATGAATTAAAATCACAATTTACAAATGCCAATACGTAGAAAAGCCTAAACTAATGAAGTGCCGTCATGAATACAACAGTCTTCAGCTGTCTCCTAAAAACTGAGAGCGAGGGAGCCAGGCACACTTCCCTGGGGAGATTGTTCCGTTATCTTGGGGCTGACACTGAAAAGGCCCTCTCTCGTGTACCCATCAGAGGAGGAGGAAGAGATTATACCCTGCCCTTCACTACCCGAAGGCGTCTCAGAGCGGCTTACAAACTCCTTTCCCTTCCCCTCCCCACAACAGACGCCCTGTGAGGCAGGTGGGGCTGAGAGAACACTTTTGAGGACTGCTCCTGAGAGAACAGGTCTTTGGTTGGTCGCAGGATGGCCTCTCCCTGTGATCGTAATTTCCAGGCAGGAATGTATGCAAGAAGACAGTCCTTCAGATATCCACTGCCTGACCCTCTGTAGTGGCCTTGGACTTCCATGGTGGTCTCCCAACCAAGCACTAACCAGGGCCGATCCTGCTTAGCTTCCAAGATCAGACAAGCTTGGGCTAGCCTGGTCCTAAAGAGATGTGAATCAGCCCTAATGTTTGCACAGCATGGCCTGAGTTGAAGAAGGGATTGGACAAACATCTGGAGAAGAGGTGCATCAGTGGCTGTCAGTTACATGGTATAGATGGAAGACTCCTTCTGGGGCAAAGATGCTCTGTCTTCTTGGTGCTTGGGGGGGGGGCCAACAGTGGGAGGGCTTCTGGAGTTCTGGCCCCACTGGTGGACCTCCTGATGGCACCTGGGTTTTGGCCACTGTGTGACCCACAGTGTTGGACTGGAGGGGCCATTGGCTTGATCCAACATAGCTTCTCTTATGTTCTGTTATGCTCTCGGTGCTTGGGGGGGCACAGTGGGAGGGCTTTTTGAGCTGTGGCCCCACTGGTGGACCTCCGGATGGCAGCTGGGTTTTGGCCACTGTGTGACCCACAGTGTTGGACTGGAGGGGCCATTGGCTTGATCCAACATAGCTTCTCTTATGTTCTGTTATGCTCTTGGTGCTTGGGGGGGGGCACAGTGGGAGGGATTCTGGAGTTCTGGCCCCACTGGTGGACGTCCTGATGGCACCTGGGTTTTGGCCACTGTGTGACCCAGAGTGTTGGACTGGAGGGGCCATTGGCCTGATCCAACATGGCTTCTCTTACGTTCTTATGATCCTACTTGTGAGAAACACTTGCCGGTTTTGAAAGCAAGTGGGCAAGATGCAAGGACAGGAGGAGGATGTGAAGTAAGAGAGGGCTCTGCAGGCTGAAAGCAACCTGCGCACCGAGACAGGGCAGTTGTGATGTTGCTCACTCCCCCCCTCCCC